CCAGTTCGATGATAAAATGAAAATGGAGTGGTTGTCGAGAATCTTTTTTAATCGTTGGAAAATCGAGAAGATGATTGAATTTCAACGATAGATGTTTCTTGGATCGCGCAATTGATAAAACAAACTCGAGTTCTTCGTTCTTCCTCGTGATAGATAGATCGGCGCGCGCCAAGTTCGAACGAAGATGAAAAATTTGTTGTTTGGCGAGTCACAAATGATTAGAGATGAAAAGATTATTAAATTGATAGAAGAATAAAGAAGACGTAGAGATACGATGATGGAAAAAAGGACGAGGGCAAGATCTGATTATAATTTATCTGCGAATCTGAAACACCGGACTGAGATAGGATTATCGTGAGAAATGGAGAGCGATTGTTGCTCGATAAAATTGAAAACAAATCCCGACGTTGGCTAATCCATTGTACAATCGCATTTCCATCGATTTCAAGAAAAATCGTAATAATAAATGAATAAATGAAAGGAATGTTTCGCACAAAGTGGCCGACTCCTCTAAACGGACAGTTATACTTTCTATTTTTTTTCCTCGACCTCGAAATTTATCTTCGACAAAGGAATACACGTGGATACAAGTTTGCACAAACGCGCGCGTTTCACCTTCAATTACTCGTATCAGTCAACTACAACGAAATAAAATAATCTAAAATAATGGCGGTGAGGAACGTGGTGAAATCGAAAATTGTCCGGCGAGCGAGTACAGTTAAGAGCGTGTGAAGAAATCGATGCGATCCCTCTGCTCATTGGTGAAATTAACAAATTTTTAGTTTCGTCAAACAAATTTTAACAACGACGTGATAATCACAACGGCAAATCTTTTATAGTCACGCGATCGCGCCGTGCTTATTAGCTAACTTTATTCCCGCTGTAATGAAACGGGCAACGAACTAATCTTTCAAGAATACCCATTGGCTGGTTCGATGCATCATCAATGGAAGTCGGAGCATGCAACGTTGAATTCAAAGTACGAATCTGCAATTAGTATTAATGGAATAGCGGACAAACTGATGGTATATCCATTGCATTAAGGTAATGAACAATATCGTTGACTATCTTTCGATTTAAATATAAAACGATCGTTAAGAAAATCTATTAAATTTTGCGCATCTCTTTTTTTTAGACTATTTAATTAAAAAAAAAAAAAAACAACGCAAACAAAATCTGAATTTGGGAAGTTTATAAATCGAACGATTGTTAGATGATGGAACGATCATCATAGACGTTCAACGACGACATCGATGGAAAAGGAACACTTCACACTTGGATGATTTAGTCGGACATCCAATGTTCGCGAACAATAACGACGGTATTAATGTAGTACCTTTATCGCTACCTATGAAATCACTCGAATGTAAAGCGACGCCGACTCCAGACGGTTAACCCGATCGATGCGATCGACGATTTTACGATACCGCAAAATATCTCGATACCGGTGTATACACCCACAATTCAACGTTCAAACCGTTTGAACGAAAAGCTTTTCAATCGACCAACAAAGATATACTCCAAGATATCCCGCCAATGAGCGTGATATTCACCCCACGAGGACGATGATACTTTCCTGGGGGCATTATTAAGGTCACAGTTTGAATCCGCGCAGGACTATAAATTATGGAAGTCCTAAATCACGGATTATTTATACCAGCCACTTGGCCCGTGCACAAATCGATATGACGAAGTTTTGTCGCTGGCAGGGAACGAATTGGAATCTAACCTAGCAAAAAAAAAAAAAAAAAAAAAGGAAAAAGGAAAAGGAAAAAAAAGTACGAAAAACACAGGGGAACAAGGTTGCGATACGTTCGGCAAAGTGCAGCCATTGAACGAGAACGTAATCACGCGACAAACGCTTTAATATTAAGAATGAGTCATACGCCTTCGACGAACATCGTTCTAAATGCAACCAAACCAGCCTGGTATATGTATGCTAGCGCTAACTTATCAAGAGATAATGTCGCTAAATCGTTACTAGTGCCGTTATAGTCGCTCATAAATTACCATCGCATCTCGTAATTGCACGGAGATATATTACTAGCTCCGATTAATAACAATCACGATTTCTTTTTTCGATTAATCGTTATCTTTTTTAAATATTTCGTTAATTAATGGCTCGTGGGTCCAAATTCTTGTATAAGATTTCTTATATAATTCTTTTATTTGAATAATTAATGTTTAATCTCGAATCACAATTCGTTTTTACGATTTTCCGCTTGCAACGGGGATAAAAAATTAGAGAGAATAAATGAAGAGTCCTATTCGTATCGTATTTTTTCCTCGATAGATGACACTACTGTAACAAAGACCATAATATATAATTTATGGATCATTTAATACAATAATGAATATACTTTTGACTTCAAAATGTTTCAAAAAATATATCCGTGCATGACTGAACTTATATTGTTCTACAGCCAATTGTAGTTTAATATATTCATACTGCCAACTGATCAATAGAAATTTAAATAACGCCAGCGAAACGCACATTGATTTTTCAAAGGGTTGAACGAGTGAAAACCGGAATAGTCCTCGAACAGTAATAACCACAATAAGAGACTATGCAAGCGTCGTGTACAAGGCCGAGGGACTTTAAGGAACCGCCGAGGCAGAAGAACTAAATGGGGATTCACACGTGGCTGATCTTTCAGGGATGAATCACGGGAAGAGGCTAAATTTTTCAGCCTCCAATATATTCTCGCATCGTGCTCCCAATATATACAAGATACGGAGAGAAATATACCTGGAAATTAAGTTTTTTTTTTTCAAAAGGAGGACTAACGAGAAATTCATCGATCGCCTCCGTAAAAAAATAAATATATTCGAGTGGGGGGGGGGGGGATCAAATCTGCTAATTCGTCAAGTTGACAAAGAAACATTTTTGCATTATACATTTCTGTTCGCGATGTCGAATGCAGACTTCGATCATTTCACGCGATTATTCGGTTCGATTACACTTTGTAACGAAATTTTCCAACATACGTTATGTTTTTCTTTTTCTCTCTCTCTCACAAACGATAAAATTCGATCGATTTTTCAAAGAATCTTCTTACGTCAATGATTCGTGATTCACGAGAAATCGTCATGAAATTGCTACCGTTATAAAAGCGATTAAAAAAAAATCTTAATTTAAAAGATAAAGAATCTTTAAAATGTATCACGCGAACGGTAAAATATTAATTTCGTATATATATTCGACAAACTGTACGCGATATGTCGGTAAAGTTAGCACGAGGGTCCATTCGCAGCTGGGCAATAATTCAACTGATAACGCGTAAATATAACTTAATGTAATACAGAGAAGATAGTATTTGTCGGAACGCTGAGTGATTTCCGAAAAACAACAGGGAAAGAATCACGGAAGTCGCCCTTTTGTCTGCGTAATAACCTAAACGCGTAATATCTTGTTTGAAGCTCCGAGAAGCATACACTTTAATGGCACTATTCTTTTGTAATATTTAAACAGTTGATACTATCCGAGTATGAATTTTGTGTATTCTGTAATGCTCTTTTTGGAAACAAGCTTTTAAAAGCTTCATTCTTGTCACAAAATTGACCGGATGATCGTGATCCAAAAGAGATTTACTATATATTATATCTAATATAATATCTATAAATATAATCTAATCTAATATATAATCTATAGATTACGTGTAAAAATAATATTATAAGAACGAAATGTTGTTATTGAAAATTTCTTAAAAATTTGAAAAATATAAAAAAAAAGAAGTAATAAATTTTTGGACATATGATTACAACTACTGCTTACCATGATCCTTTAGGATTTCAACACCAATCCCTAAACTTCAATAGTTCTAGTTTCCATTGAAGGTAGGTTAGAGGTTTACCTAACTCGGTCTCTTTGAGGACGAGCCTTTGTGCCATCCAAGCCAAAGTGTTTCCATTACAGTGAAGAATATTCGATTGACACGAATTGATAGAATTCGTGGAAAATGAATTTTTTTTCTTTATTTTTTTCAATGAGAACGCATATAACTCATACCATGAACGACAGCAACCACAAGAATCTTACATCTGTCTATTATACCGCGATGCAACGTGAGAGCCAGTGGTAGTTCTCACCAATGTGAACGAACAAAAGATAGCAAAAAAAAAAAATTTATACAAGATGTTGGAGGGAGCTCCAACAAATATTGACACACAATCGATCATGATTACACATAAAAATATTTGTACCTAATAAAATTCAATGTTTATTGAGAGAGTTCATTTAATCTTAATCGCGTGAAAAAACAAACGATACGATGTATTAATTATTTATCTTCAATAATATATCCTAATATTATTAATAATATATATTTAATTTGTACATTAAAATCCAATTATTTTGGAATACGTAATAAAATCTGCTGAGAAGATGATGGCGGGTATAAACATCTCTGTATTCGGTGCACTCTCTCTTAGCATAGATAAAAGATATAAATTTATCACGGTAGAATTACGTCACGCGTAAGACCCGAACTTCGACGATAACTGAAACGCTTAAATTCAACGTCATTGTTCTTAATTTACGCGATGGTCATCCCTATAGTTGATTTTTTCGACAAGATAAATCGTCATAAATGACAGGAGGTATATTATAAATGATAATATGAAACGAAAAGGATAAAAAACTTTGCAAATAAATTAAATGAGATCAGTTGAATTTTATTTAAGATCTATCGAAATGAAATATTGCTTCAAAGTTCTATTCGTTTTCGCAACGCGAACATTTTTGAAAAGGTTAGAAAGAATTTTCTGATTATGAACGACAACACATGGGATGGCTCCATTTTAATATGTATCATAGAAAAAAAATTATTTCATACGCAAATATCACAATGGCTAGAGATGTTTTTAGAAGAAAGATATAAATATAAAAAAAAGTATATAATGATGATGATCATATTCAAGATCATATTCGAAATAAACGTATATATCTTGCGAAATTAAAAAGAAAATAAATATAAAGAAAGAAAAAAAAATAAACTTACCAAGTCGAAGTTCTCCAAAGTTGCCAGAGCCAATTTTCTTGCCAACACGGAAGTTCGGACCGACCATGAGTACATTAGAGGAGGAGGTGACACTGTACCTGGAGGAATACGCGTTGAATCTGGTAGCATTACCGCTACCACGAGAGATCCTCTTGGTCGTTTCCTGTTCGCGTTCAGAGCTACGCGCGAGCTGTAGCTGTGTATCTCTACCGTCTCTTTTCTGCATGGTGCGAGTGTCCTCTGTCGTGGCAGAATAATCCGCGACAGTCTGTTTAACGTGACAGAAAGGATCGATTGTATGATAAAAAATTGCCAATATTAGTCCCGGATCGAATTAATGATGTAAACGATGCACGGCATTTAATTGGGGATCGATCCCCATTCTTGACATATTTTCTTCTTTGGTCTTCCCTTGGATGGCCGCCGATGAAAAATAATACTCCAGCGGCTTCCTGGGAGAATACACATATGCACGCACACACACGCACACACCGTAACACGGCGAGTCGCAGGTGTCACGGTTTGTCGGTCGATGCCTTCAGGGGATCAATCCCCATGCTATCCTAACCTCGAAATGAATTTTGGGAAATGTTTACACTTAAAAACGTAATGAAGAGAGCAGATGAGAACACGCGCGAAACACACACAGCTCTATCTCTCTCTTTTTCCCTTCTTCTATCTCTTTTTAAGGGGCTAGTAATTATCACAGACGGGAGAGAGTGTTCGTCGTGTCGAGGACCCTGGACGATTCCATACCAATTTCGACCTGCCTCTTTCACCCGGCCGGCCGGGAGGAATAGTCAACGATAGATATCGCGTCTCAGTCAATACGGCGTGCATCGCCGTGACTGTTCTGTCGCACGGGAATACACTCGGAAACCTCCTCCATTACAAACGGCCCCGCCGCGTGCGATCGTGATCGTACTCAATCGTGCCCCGATAGTGCCGCGGCCTCACCACCACAGACTCGATTCTGCGGTTAGATTTGGGAGCGCCGCCGAAGCGGCTCTGAACTCTTTCCAGTGACACGCACACTAGCACATGCACTTTGCGAGCTTCGTATGTTCTTTCTTGCTGAAGGAAAATCCGCAATCGTGTCACCAGTATGCCCGATCGGCTATTATATGCCCACACACAAGCCTGTATTAACTATAGTTCCTTCGCAGTCTTCACTTCCCAAGTCTTCCCAAATTTTTATTTCGAAAACTGATTATATAAATATGATTATCTTTAGATATACCGTTTAATGATTGCACACACGATATTTGAAAGACCTGTCGAACGCGGACAAACGATCGCGGACAAGCTTACGCTCCTGTCTCTCGCGCTCGACTCGACATGGGTGAGATTTGTTACGAGGCTAGCAGTGCTGCCAACTTAAAAAGAATAAAGCTGCGTTTTCAATATTATCGACCTTTCTTTTTAAATTATCTATCTTTATGTATCAGTGACTTCTAATTGTTTTTTTACCTGATGATATATTTTTTTTATTTATATTTAGATTTCATTATAGACATATATTTAAAATTATAATAAAATAATTTAAAAATGAAAAATTAATTAGTATTAAAATTTGTTACTAGACCAGTATGAATAGTTATTTATGCGTCAGTATTTATTTAGTGATAATAAATATAATAAAATATGGCGTTTATTTAAATTTTCAAATAGAATTAAAAAAAAATCTAATAAATCTAATATTATATGTGCAAAAATTTATATATATATAATCTATACTTTTTATAAATAAAATGTATTTCATATATATTTATATGAATTTGTATAATTTGTATGTTATTTATAAAACTAGTCTTTATCATAAATAATTATATTAAATACTTGCGTATCCATAGTAACCAATTTGAAATTTACGGATTTCTTTAATATTTATTAAATATTTGCTGAATTTATATTAATTATTTTTATGTATTATATTATGACGCAATGGGGGAGGAATTAGCAAATTCTGATGTTCGAGTTGTATTAAATATAAAGGAAGGTACATTTTACGATTATTTATTTATTAACCTTTTGATATGACATTTTCTTTGTATAAAATAATATAAAATATTATTACGATTAATAATCGACTATTTATTACTTATTATCATTTGCACAAAAATGATTTATAATGAATAAAATTTTACAAATGTTATTTTAAAAAGTTTACCAAATTTGATATTTGATGTTAATGATTTTAGGCAAAGGTTTTGAGCAAATCTTACTACCTACATTAATTGTTGCAACTTTAAATGGACATTCTTTAGAAACTGAAATAATAGAACCAAATCCAAATCCTGAATATGATCATGATTTGGTTTGGGAAGTAGATAAAAATAAATTACGAAAGTATGTATCATATAATATTTAATATAAAATAATATTTATTATTAAAATATAATTTTAACTTTATAGGATGAGATCAGGGCAAGTTCCACTAAAATTAGAATGTTTTGCCGTTAAAAGCAATGACAACAAAGAAAAATTAGGATATCTTTTACTTAGTTTAAGATCAGCCCAAGTTTTTACCAAATGGGATGCTAATAATGTAAAACGTAATTGGCATAAATTATTAGGTTTGAAAAATGAACTCAAAATACATAAACCTGAATTACTTCTTGGTTTAAGTATTCATGATCTGGAAAATACAGCAGAAAATGCTCAATTAGAGGTAAATTATATATAAATGATATATAAATGAATGTTTAATAATATATAAAATTATATATTATGAAATTACAGTTAAAAAATTTAAAAGAATGTCAACAAAGTATTCAACTTAATAAAGTAACACCAATTTTACTTCGCAATGAGCGTCTTATACAATTAGGTCCATTAAATATTTGTCATGAATTATTTTTAATGAATATTACTGCTATATCTGCAATGCATGTAGATTCATTATTACCAATGAAATATTATACAGATATGAAAAATAATTTGTATTTTTGGTGTAAGATATTAGAAAATGATGTATACTTTAATCAATCAAAAAAGGAATATGGAGATCTTTGGGCACTCAATGAAAAAATTGTAATAAGGATCAGAAGTTCATTAAAAATTTTCAAAGAATATTTACAATTAAAACCGTTTCTGTTTATATATTTGAAATATAAAGATAATATACTAGGTCAATCAGAAATAAATTTGCAATCATTAATTCCTACTGATAGTATTGAAGAATTTCTTAAAATTACTGAAAATAGTAGTAGTATTTTAAATCAACGATGTTACTTATGTAAAACAAATTTTGTTGAAAATAATGAAATAGAAAAAATTTGTAAAAATCCATACCTTGATTTACAATTAAAATTACAATATGTAGGTAAAACAAATGTAGGAATGGATGTTTCTAATGCAATGATTAATGATTTAATCATTCCTTTATCTAAGGATATAAACTTAAAACAAGTAATAAATTTTTTATAAAATAAATTGTGTGGTTAAATTATTAAATTATTAAAAGATTATCAGAAAATTTATCATTTTTAATTGTAATTGTAATTTTCAGAATTATAGTGAAATAGATTGTCATAGAAATCCTGCTGGTGATTTTGGAAAATATATTAATGGAATTCAAACTTTTACTACTTCAAATGAATATGATAATATAAATAAACATACTATAGATTATAACTTTATAAAGGATCAACCTGTTAATGCTATTTGTTCACATTCAGTTGACACATTCCTATGTCAACCTAATATTAATAATTATTCTAAAAGTGTAGAAGCTTATCATTCTTATTATTTAAATATTTTATTAATAGCAATTAAAGCAAAATCTTCAAAATTAACAGTACCAAATATGGAAATTCGGTATTAATCATTAATTATTATATGTTAATTTAATAATTAAAATTAATTTTTTAATTTATTAATATTTTTTTTTTTTTACTTGCAATTAAATATATTTTTTTTCTTGAATTTAGGTTTCATCATCCAAAAACTGGAGTTACATCAACATTTCATTTAAAATTATCCTTTTCTTTAGGAGAAAAAGTAAAATTACAAGATATAGGATGCAAATTTCAATTTATATCGGCAGTAGATGAAATAAAACAATTATTATTATCTTTTCCACCAAAAATTAGCATATATAAAATAGAAGGAAATGCTAAGACTTGTATATGCCAACTTAAAATTAATGCAAAGGAATTATTTTGTCCAAATAAGGTAATATAAAATATATAAAATATTATAAAAAATATGATATTTTATTCTTGTATATACTTGTTAAAGTTTAATAAATATATCTCAGCCTGAGTGCCAATATGATATACCATTATATGATATGGAACATAATAGTATTGGTAATTTAGATGTTTTATTAAATTTAGAAGATCATGGTCCATATTATAGAATTAAAAGAGTTATTCCTAGTAAGTTTATTTTTCAATAAAAAATTTCTTTTAATATAAAGAAGATAAAATAATGTTATAAAATAAATTATTTTGATTTAGATGAAAATTTAGGCCCACCAATCTTTGATGATACTTTAGCATATAAAATAGTAGATGAATTAGAAACTTGGAAAGAACGACAAATGGAAATATTTAAAGTTGAGGTAAAATGTTTTAATATAATAGAAAAAAATATATATAAAAATATAAAAATATAATAGATAAAAATATATAACTATTTTAAAAAAATAAATATATATAAATAAATATAAATAAATATTTTTTACAATAATTTAGTTAAAAAGAAAGGAAGATCGTCATTTAAATTTATTAAGTCAAGAATGGCAAAAACATAGAGAAAATTTAGAAACAAAACTCGCATGCAGCGTTGAGCAGTGTAAAATGCTAGCAAATAGTTTGAATAATGCCACAGAAGATTTAAGAACGCGAAGATTAAAAAGTCTTGAGAAAGAAAGTAGATTAATTAAAGCAAATGAAGATCTACAATGGAGATATGAAATGAAATTACGAGAACTTAAAGAATCATCTCAATTAGTTCAAGAAGAACTCATGACAAAGGTTGGTAAAAATTTATATTAAATAAAATTTCCTTGATATGATATATATTAAATTATACGTTCTTAATACTTTATAGATAAATATTCTTGAAAAAAGGAAAACAGCTTTAGAAGTACAAGAAGAACAATTAAGTATTGAAAATGAAAGATTACAGTCACTTGTAACAAAACAATCTGAAGAATTAGAAAATTATCAAAAAGGATCTTTAACCCAAGATCAAACAGCAAATTTATTACAAGAATTAAAAACACTTGAAGAAAAATTGCAAAATGCACAAGAGAATAAATCTTTTTTTAAAGAACAGTGGGCAAAAGCAGTTCGTGAAATACATCGTATAAAAATGGAGCATCAACAAGCTATTCAAATTCAAATTAAAAATAGTAAAGAAGAATTACAAAATTTAGAGTATGTACATTATATAGTAAAAATATTGAAATCATTCAAAAAATATTTTCTATTATTTTTTCTCTCTTCTTTTTATTTTTAGCCTAGAAGAAATATTATGTGCAGATACTACTGCTTTGACAAATGATCAAATATTATTAAATGAGATTCAAAAAGAAATCGATGTAATCAAGCCAAAAGCATATTTTATTGAAAAAGATGCTTATTCTCAAGTATTTACACCAAATTCTATAAGTTCCAAAATTTCGCAAAATGTTAACAAAAATACATTAAAAAAATCAGAAGAACAAAATGAACGATTGCAAGCATTACTTGAAGAACGTGATTCTCTTTTAAAAACGGGGAGTTATACAATTGACGATATGGTTATTACAAAATTAAATAATGAAATTAGATCTTTAATGATGAAATGATTTTTTATATAAATTATATTATAAAATATCTCAATACGATATAAAATATAAAATACTTTACAATTCCTTTTTACATGAATATATATATATACATACACATACATATATATATATATTTAAATAAATATATTTTATTTGATTTTTTCTATTAATTCTTATTGTATTACATATAAAATAATTATTTTTATGCAATTTAATTAATTAATTACAAATTTTAATTAGTTTTAATTTTTAAAAACAATATACATAAAAAAAGATACAATTTAAAATTTATATTATAACTTATTTATACTATGAAACATAATTATTTTTTTTTAATTTTTTAACAAAAAATATCAAGTTAAAGAAAATTTTTTTGATTGAATATCTATAGCTTCTACGAGATCTTTTCCAAGAGTATAAAAGTCTTGAATCATTGCCGAAATATTTAAAACTAATTGATTATTGTTATTACATTTTCGACCATTGATATTTGATGTCTTAAAATCCTTAATTTCTAATACAGAAGGTTTTAATAAAACTCCAATTATATCACCACCATAAGTATCATGAAAAAATAAGGCAAATTCATCATAACCATTCTAAAAAAAAAGAGAGAGAAAGAAAAGAAAAATTATACATTATTATATTAAAAAATGAAAATATTAAATACTAATGAAATTTCATTTAAACTTACTCTAAGATCTTTTAAAAAATATTGCACAGGATCAAATCCTACAACTGGAATCTTTTGAGCTGAATGTCGTTTATATGGATGCCATTCAATAATAGGATGTGCATCATTGATATCAACTGCTTGTAGTCTTCTAGGAATCATATGTGGTTTTAAATATATCAAACAATCATATTCTGTAAGTGGTGGTCTAAATAATGGTTTAAAATCTAAAAGAACTTTTGTAAAAACTTGAACTTCATATAACTTTATAGATTGTTTAGCTAACATTGTAATACGATTTAAAATTAAAATAGATGGTGCTTTTTTAGTCCATAATGATTTTTGTTGATCATAAGGAGTAGAAATAAATAATGGTGGTAAAGAATTACGAAATGATGCAAAAAGAGTTTCCACTGCTATTATATCTTCTCCTAAATAAAATGAAATATATTAGATAAAAATAATATATAATAAGTATAATAAGTATAATAATACAATAATATAATAACAGTTTTTTTTTATATCAATTGCTTACTTACTAGACATTTCATCATTGAAATTTACAATAATGGGATCTGTATTCCAATGACCTCTAGCAAACATTTCTAAGACTCTTAAAAATTGTACTTGAGGTGTTTGAGAAGATCTATATGGAATAGGTATTAAATATATTGAAGCTACAAGTAGGTCAACTACTATATCTGGTATATGAGAATTATCCAATAGCTGAGCAGATAACCAACGTTTTGTTAAACAACAAGTAGCTCCAAAAGATGGTTGTTGAGTATGTAATCTGATATGTAACAATGCTATATAAATAAAAATATATCAATTTTTTAAAATTAATCATTCTTACCCATGCAAAGCACTAGTTAGTTTCGGTAATTCGAATAATTTATTTTCTAATTCTATCGATTCTTCATTATCTTTATATTCTATAACTCCATTTTCAGTTACATGTTGTTTCAAGCAACTAATTTCTTTTTGATGTGATATTCTTAATCGAAATACAAATCCATCCTGAAAAAAAATTAATTTTTTTTATAATTTCATTATTTTTTAATATTGTTTTTTTATTGAATTTTATTCAATATTGTTTTTTAATAAATATTTTCTTATTTAAAAATAATAACCTTATATACATCGATATGCGAAAAGTTTGCATTTGTTTTTAACTTAAATTGTTTTCTAAGACATTCTGCTATTTGTATGTGAAAAGCGGCTTTTGTTTTTCTAAAAGCTTCCAATTCATCTGGCCATTTTCCACTAGTTGATAATTGCAAGCTCACTTCAAGTGGACTAACATATCTAGGTGCTATTGTTACATTTTTAGACAATATTAAACAATTTTTAATTTTTTTAAATTGTTCAGTAGGCCGATAAACTGTTGCAAGTGGTGGAAAAACATCCGTATATCTAAAAACTGCGCTAGATCCTTGAACTCCATGTATTGACAAGGGAATGTCTGTAAGAGACATCAAATCTTTTTCAAAATGATTAAATACATTTATTGCTTTTAGAGCTGCTTCTTCTCCCGTTCCATAAACAAAATGCGTTATTTTGACCTAAATATTGTAAAAATATTTAATTTATTTATAAGATTAAAATTTATAATAATTTTACTATAAATTGTTACCTTTTGCAATTTTATAAGTTCCTCTATTTGATCAGCAATGTATGTAAATTTATTTTTAGGAAAACCTAATTTTTTTGTTAATAAAAAAGTTATAATTTTTTTACATATTATTCTTTTTCCTGATAATGTTTTGCCTTTTGACCAAATTACTGCTTCTCGAATAGTTCCATCTTGAAATCGTCGTAATTCTGATTTTTTGTTCCAAAATTTTCGAAATTCAATTGCCTAAAATATAATATTAAAAAATATTAACAACTAAAAAATTAAAACTATTCTATAATCATATTTAAATTGTTTATATACTTCTGGTAAATTTGCTTCAGGGCCTTTAGTAACAATATTAAAACAGTGTTCTGGATTTAATTCTAATCCAAGAAAAATCTTCCCAATATTATCGCAATTATCCTCTGTAAATTCCCATTCTGAAGTTTCTTTTGGTAAAATACAAATTTGATGGACTCTATTTATCAATCCTTTTTCAAAAATATTGTAAAGAATTTTTATTATTTGAGTTCGATAATTTGGGCCATAATTTAACTTATCTTTGTTACTTGAATTAGCATTTACTATATTTTTTAATACTTGTGGATCCTCAAACCTATACATTTGTTTAGTTTATCATATAATTAATTAGAATATTTTTTAATTTATAAAAATAATTACCATATAAAATGATCAAATGCCATATAAAATGGTATTTTTCTCATGAAAAGTGATTGAAAACTATTTGCATGTACACTATCCAAATGATTTAAACAAAGTTGTGCTTCTTTTTGTATCCATTTATATGTAGATTTAAATATATGTGTAGTAATATTATAATAACCAGTGCTATCCAAAAGTACACAATCATAATATTTATGATAGCTAAAAATTCTATTTTTACTATCTTCATTTTGATTCATGGTTACTCCAGATTCACACCAATCAACTTGTACTGATAAAATAAGCAATATCAATTAATAATAATAATGAAAATATCAAATCTTTTATATCTTTCTAATATATATATATATATATTTGTGTGTGTATATGTGTATACAAAATATCATACCTAAATAATTCCATGCATTCCTTATTATTTGATAACTACTCATAAATGTGTTTAACTTTTTTATGGATAATAAATACAGAATAAACATTGTTATTACATATCCATTAAAAGCTGTACAACCTTTTGATAATCCACGTTGAGTCAACCATATCTTCAATAAAATAATGCCATCTCTTAAATTTGGGTATTCTTTTATTATTTTCATATTTTCTGAATGTATTTTCATAGTTAAATCATGAAGAATGATAGAATTATAATATGGTGTTGGAAGTAAATCTTCTGTAACTATCATTACAAAAATAACATATATATAATATATAATATAAAAATAATATAAAAAATAGAATATATATATAATATAAAAAAAGAAACAAAAAAACATACTACTTTTTTCCTCATTAAAAAACCATTCAGATCTAACATTATTTTTTTCTGGTAAAAATCTACTTAATTTAAAACTTCCTTCTTGGGCTGATATATATATAAATACATTCATTTTAGTGCCTAATTTTCCACTTGGTACAATTTTTAAAAATGGTCTTAAACTATCATTCATAAATGTTTTGCTTTTAGCAATATCATCAGTAATATTAAATGCTATGAATGCCAAATATATTGCTTTTTTTTTTCATGTATCTATAATTTTGATAGTCTTGTTTTTGAAACATTTTGGCTGGCATTTCAATCATTATATCTACAGTAATATTTGGACTAATTACAGCATCAAACATATAAGATCCTATAATAGCAATATCTGATGGCTTAAGAAATTTAAATATTCCTTTTGTTTCCTCTGGTACCTTTGGCATTGGAATATGTATATTTAATTTGTTTTTCAATTCTTGATCTGAAATCTATATAATCATAAAATAATATATAAAATTTTTATTACAATTTTTAATAATTTAATTAAATAAATTTAATTACTTTATATTCTTTTGTTTCCTCTATGGATTCAATATTTTTCTTAAAATGTTTAAACCAAATATCAAATAAACGTTTATATTTTTCTTTAACTTTAATTTCATTTAACATTTCTTCTATTTGTAGTCTAAATAAGTTGGAATGAAATAAATTTTCTGTTTCTTTAAGTTGATTTAGTTCTTCTACTGTTGGTGGTTTATATAAATTTTTATCTAATTTTCTTTTCTTTTTTAATGAAATATCAATAGAATCATCAATAATTTTCGTTCTTTTTTTATTAGATATTAAGTGAAAATTTTTTTTCATTTTTTCTTCTTCTTCATTTTCTTCATTCCTATAGTTATTTCTATCAATTTCATTGTTAGAATGATCATTATTTTCAAACATGAAATTATTAGAATGATTCAAAAAATCATTTATATTTGCCTAAAAAGTTTATATGTATAGATTTTTAAGGTTATGTAAATATAATGAAACTTCTCTTTAAATAGTTACCTTATAAGATATTTTCATGTTTATTTTTTTCAATTAATTTTATTTTTATATAATTATATTTTTTTATATAAATATATTGACACATAAAAATTAATTTAAAATACGAAACAAAATATTTCATACATGCACAGTTTTAAACTTTAATAGACCACGTGAATTCGCAAATAGTAAATTACTATAATAATATCAACGACATTGTTAATTCATTATATTTCAAACAAATTACAAAACATCATCTGATGATGTTTATATTATAATATATAATTATATTATAATAATATATAAATATATATAAATTATAAATAAAATTAATTGTTAGCAAAATTAAAAAATCCAATTTTTTTGTCTTTTAAACTAAAACATATTACTTTTAAATAATTTGAAATTAAGATTTTTAAAAATATATAATTTTATTTTGTCTGCAAGTAAGACAAAATTAATTTTAAATTATTTCTAAGAATCTTTTTTTTTTAAAGTCTTTATTTTGCTTCAAAAAATTTTATGTCAATGATAATGATTAATGATAATCTCTATAAAAAAAAATATTTAAAAAATTTTTTTATAATAAATTAATAAATATATTATTCTTCTATTATTATATTTATGTCAAATATACCATAATATATTTTAAATTATGAGTTATTAATTATAAAATAAATAATAGGAAAAAGATTATTAATTTTATATAAAGAATAATAGATAAGAAATTTTAGAATACAATTTACAATGATCTTCACTATGGAAGCCCACTTTTTATTTAAAAGAAGAACATGGAAGAAGATATTCTTAAAATAAGATAATAATACTATGCACATGCATCACTATAAATATTTATAGTAATATGATTTTAAAAATTGTATAATACAAACATATAATTTTACAACATAAAAATTATTTTACATCATTTTCGAAAGATCATCATATATAAAGATCTTAACATCACTATATATATATATATATATATATATATATAT